AAGCTAGTGAACCTGCGAGACGCATCATGTCATCCTATGTTGGCTTTTACTGATCACAGTGATGGTTAGGTTTTTCCGAAAGTACTCCAATTGACTAGTAAGTCGGGCACACTCGTCCGCGCCGTTGTGCTTGCTTGTCTAACTATTGTATACGGCACGCTAAGGTTTGCGTCCGTGATCACGATGGTGCAGATGCAATTTTCCGTTGGAGGCGGCTGGGCTGCTCCACATGCGGTATCTACAGTCACAATTCGAGACACAAAGCCCAATTGTTTGTTGCCGTTCCCACTCTGACATACTGAACGCACCGTAGAGAGCTTTGTATTGGTGTTGCTGCAAGCGACGCAATGCGTAATCACGTCGTTTCTCAGGCCGGTGAGGGAGTAATTTGCGATCGGTTTGCTGACCAAACATCGTGGTTTTCGGGTCCGGGGCTGTGATTGTCCACTATCGGCAAGTTCAGAATGCGGTAACATCACAACCCCGCGCGCCATCTGTGATGTTTGTTCCAATAAACAACCCCCTCAGATACGCGTACGCGCATTGCGAAGTATGCCAATTCCTCTTGTGCACGTACTGCTGCCGTGCTGAGCTTCTTCGAGCATCTGATCATGGCTGCAGTGGCCTGCTTGCAACCAACATTGCAATTTGAATAGTGCGGACAGCAGCGTATTCTAAGGCTCTTCTTGTCAGTGTCCACCACCGACCCTGGACAGCATCAACATTTGGGTCCGTACACTGTCAAAGCCCCTTCGGCCAGCTGCTAATTAGCCATCACAGCGCAAGTGGCGAGTGCATTCACGCTGTCCCCAACACCACATGTAGCAGGCTCGATATCGCCAACCTCGGCCATGTGTCACACAAGTTTGCTGTCCTGTAGACCCTGTCATGGAGGCGAATAGCATCCGAGACTTCGACTCTCATTTCCTCTCGAGATCTTGACTGGTAGAAGATAAGCGGTATGCTGCGGGCGTGGGCTCCGAAGCACGTGCAGAGAGTCGCAGGCTGCCTGATGTCTTTGCGTCGCTGGTCTCGAGGCAGCACGCGGCCGTTTCGTGCTCACACCGTTAACCAGATCGGCGTTGTCGTCCGAGAGTCGCGGCACTACTCTGGTTTGACAAGCCCATGGTCTAAGGAGATGAAGCCTGGCAAGCGCTTTGCAGGATGACTGCGCCAGTTAGGTTGGTATGTTACTCACAGTGCTAGCATAGCCTTGCCTGCAACGGAGCAAGGCCTCCAACCTTTCCCCGTCCAGACAGGCAAGGCCTAACAAGGGCGGACGAGCGGAAGTGATCACCTACGTCAAAGTTCACGTCACCCAACCTATCCACTAGGTACATCGGTTTCTCCCAGGCGAAGTCCCTTCATAGCCGCCCAATTGAGCGTCGGGAACTACCTACGGCCACTGATCGGACGCTACAAGCGCACGGCCGAGAAGGCAGGAAACTTGCTATACCCAATTCACGATGGGTTCCCCTGCGTCTGGTGAGCGCGTCCTCTAAGCGCCACAGCCATTCACTGTCGCGTTCAGTGGGCCTTCTGACTCCATAGGCCGACGCAATTGTTACTTTTGTCTCGGTTGAACTTCTTTTCTTGGCCCTTCCACAGAAGCATTCGCTGTTTAAACACATCCGTGAAACCCTTCTATACATAGATACTCGTGAGCCTATTGGCAGCCGAGAAAAGGACCGACACGGCGCTTGCGCAGGGCCCACAAGTCGGATTTCCAAGGCGCCTCTGACTGGTTGTCTCCCGGCCAACGACATGAAATCCATCGCCCCAAGACCATCCGCCGATGGTTTTCAGTCGTCCATCATAACCATGACCATTCGCCCTTATCGTCACTGTCTACGTTGAAGCGAGGCTTCAATGACGAGGTCAGCGAGCCTTTGCGCTGCAGTTGATGCCTGGCGGGCCACTGTCTAAACGGCCGACGAGCACGGCAAACACGGCGAACAGGCGCAGCCAAGCCGTCCGCGAAAACGACGACGCATCCATCCCAACACTGAGTTGAGGGCTCCATTGTCACCGCCATCGTCGTACTCTCCCTGTTTCGTTTCTTCTCTGATGGAATCCAGGCTCCTTACAGGAGTCAAACGAAAGCATGACAATAGTCGGCAGGACAATGACGGCGAGGAAGAGCCAAGCGCAAGCCTTCTTCCTAATATGCACGACATCCATTCCACGCCGCAAGCGTCCCAGCTCAACGACCAACGCATTGCTCGCACATCCACGCCTAGCCTCTCATCGGCGTCCAGCGTTTCATCACGGACGTCCTCACCTACGAAACAATGGAGAAGACTGGCTCTTCAGGCCGACGGCTTTGTCCATCGCAAGTTTGCGAAGAGCCGCGCTGAACTGCCCTCCTCGCTCGCCACACTCGTCAACGAGCTGCAGGGAATCCGTTGGGGGTTTCAGCTACTGCCGCATGACATGCGCACCGAGGTACATACTTTGTGAACCATGACGAGATTGTCACCGCCTGCTCCATTCCCTTCTGCTATGGACGCTTGTCTTCTACCGATTGACCATAGACTGACAATTCGCTGCTCAAATGCCAGTTTGCCGACTTCGATATACCAGATCACGCTTATCTCCCCGAGGGCATTCCTGCACCAGCCGGCTTCCGGTGCCCACCCCGAGATCTCGTTGCATGGCTGCTAGACCAGGCCGAAGACTGCGAAATCAACCTTCACGGCGAACCTAGCTGGAACACGGAGCT